TACACGCAGGGCAGATGACAGAGATCAAGGATGTGCAATAGACTGAGTCAGGGCAGGTGGCAGGCATGGTTGCTACAATGTTAATAAACAACCTTTATCAGAAGTGCAATTAGTAAGGAAACGTGTCTTATGCTACAAAAGACGAGGAGAGACCCTTTTGCTCCATTATTGTAATTGTACTGAGCAAGATTTATACCTGGTGCCTTGTTACATCAAATACATAGCTTACCTCCCCTACCAAGGAATACGTGACATTCCAGCCAGTAAGAGTAGAAACTAATAGGAGCTGACAGCTAGTTACTGGACATTTAGGAACCTTGTAATGCTGACCAAACACATGGCAATTTACCAGCAATTTCCATCTCAGTTGTATCAAATAAACCGAAGCGGCTTACCATTAACAGCTTTGGTTGCCTTATGCTTTCAGTACAGATTTCTGGTGGTAGGTTGATCCATTTTGTAATTTTTGCTAAACGTTAATTGAAAGTAGTTTTACTTGCCCAAACTTTGCTCTGTGTATAACCAACATTTGGCAAATGTCAGTGGGAGGAAGTAGAAGTATGTATATTGTTAATTAGTACCTGTCAGATTCTGTTTAGTGGTCCTACTCTTCAAATCCAGCATCAGTCATCATTCATTTTTTTTATTGATTGTTTATCACAAAATGTAATCTAGGAAAAGTAATTAAGAAAATGAATAAAATACCAGCTATGAAATGTATGTGAAAACTTTCAACTAAACTCATGTGACAAGGTAGCAGGTAGAATACAGTAAAATAATTGGGGTAATAACTTGGGGCACATTTTTACCTTACTATAGCCTGTTATCTTCTTATGGCCATGCCATGGTCAACATCAAAATGTTTTATTATGCCATTCAAGTTCACACTGTTGGAAATGCAACAGCATATTCTGGTATGTACTAATTGTATTACTGACTGCAATATGTCTTTTGAGCTGTAGATGGTAGTGTACTGCATTGTTAGTTTTCTATATGCATGCTTATCTATGATACACAGGAAGTTTTCCTATCTCTAAGCAAGTAAAACATAATTCAGCCTTCCTCAAGATCTCAGTGCTTCATATAAACACATAACCAACACACACAAGTCTTCTTTGCACCAAGAAACTGTAACTTGCATTGCACTAAAGCAAGCACTGTAGGTCTTTCTTTAGGAAGATAATAGTTGAATAGTGTATTTCAAGCTAAAAACATGGAGACGATAGATTTACTTATTAAAAGTGGGTATTTTCTACATTTGTAACATTTGGAATTTGTACATTGCAACCAGTTGTATATGTAGAGTTAAATTGGGTCTGGTTGATATAGGGATTAACTGAATAGATGCAGTCTTTATAAAATGTTTTTGTTGAACTTTATAATGGTAGATTTAGTAAAGAAAACACAAAAGAACAACTAAAATCTTACACAAAAAATTTACATAAAAAGGTTTCGTAAACATCACAAAATATAAATATTATTATATTTTTAATATATTCTTACAATAGAATTAAAAAGGACAGCTAGAGAAAAAGTACAGCTAACAAATACTATTACTAGCATTGAATCAAGTTTCATAAACACTCATGTAATATTGTACTGAAACTAATATTCTATTAAATGTTCTAAGACCCCTTCAGTTCTGCATGGGGATCTGTGCACATGTGTCCATGCATTACGTGAGTGTTTATGAAACTTAATCGTTTGTTGTGACATCCATGACCATCCAGTCTTTTCCTCTATCTTGCGATGGAGGAAAAAACTGAAATTATCGAACCCATGTTGGTTTATGGGGAATTGGGTCCATGTGCATCAGATGAAAAACTCTGATCCGTTTGTTTTTGCAGACCTGGCTGGAGCTGGGATTAGCCGGATGTAAACAGACATACATCCACTTAGATCCGACTTCCCATAGACTAACATTGGGCTTCTGATCAGGTCCACCTCAAAAACTAACAGGTGGACTTGATCAGAATGCCCGTGTTCAAGGGGCCTTAGTCTGAAAGTATAATAAATTAATGGGAAAAGACAATTATTTGGTGTCTTTCTAAATAATTGAAAGTATTTGTTTTGTTATCATTAAGTAATTTAAAAATTTATTTTATCACTGTAGTGATGCTGGCGACGTACACTGTACGTCGTCAGTCATGAAGGGGTTAAATAATGAGGATACAGTTTAAAAAAAAATCTATTTGTAATAATTCAGATATAGTGACTTTTCAGTCTACCACTGCTACTTTTTCAGCATCTGAAATCTTCTTTCTTCAGCCACTGGGTGGACATTGATAATGTAACTCTTGTGCATAAATGCTGGAATTACAATAACTCAGAACCCAACTCCTACAGCTGCTGAGAGCATATACTACAATGTTCATGTGTTGCAGGCTGTGTAGGAAAACAAATTTCCTAGGAGAAAGAAGAGATGGCTTTTCTAATGATAAAACCTACTTACCAGTACTTTTTTTTTAAATTTAGAGCTGAACTCCAGGGAGTAACTGGAAGTGTAAAGGCTCGTTTTTGCTCAGGGTTGCTCCATATCTCCATGCAACCAGTCCCCCAAAGCTGCCTCTCTTCAGCACTCCTTTCCATTGTTCAGAAGTTAAAGTCATCACATACAATGCAGGACCAACAGTCCTGCATTGCAAATGAGGATACAGAGGGCCTGTCCACAACCCACAGCATTGGAGGAAAAAGGAGGGTGCTGGCTGCTGGGGAAGTGAGTAATAATGTAAGTAAAACTCCTTTTTATGGTTCCCTAGACAAATAGTAGCATTTAACCCTCAGCTTTAAAAAAAAAATATTGACAGGGATTTTAACTAACTCAATTCAAATACCTACCCTCTACTATCTTTGACCAGCTTTAACCTAACAATTCTAGCTGGGTTACATTAGCTATATGAGCAGTGGTGATCGGCGAATCTGTCCAGGTTCTGTCCACCAATGGTTCAGCAAATCTTGAAAGAAATATGGTGAACCCAAACTTGGAGGTAACTCTCATTAAAGTCTAGGAGGGGCAAATGTTTTAGTTAAATTCTGAAAACTTTTAGAGCTAATAGGCAAATAACTCTCAAAATGGCATGAGAAGCTGGGCACTGCAATAGGGGACATGCACCAATGCAAAAAAGGGTCTGTTTTATACACCTTCAAGGGCAATATTGAAAATACACCAACCCTTTCAATAACATGCTTGGCGGATCCCAGAAGCTGTACATGGTGTTACAGAACAGTCTTGGCAACAGTGTACGCTAGCAGCACATATTTGGCATTGGTATTGTCAATGGTATTGATTCATTTCTTATCTTTTCTTAGCTAGACTTACTTACAGCAGCAGCACCCCAATCTGATTAAGTTTAGTTTTTTTTTTTTTTTTAAAGGGTTTTTTTTAGGTAGTTTTAACAGCAAAACATACTTTTTCATCAACCGGTAATATATATGATTTGAAAAAAACAGATTTAAATTGGCAAGTAGTTTGCTGTAGCTGTCCCTGTGCTCGCAGATGCAGATGCTGACCAGTTTCTATCAAGCTGTTTTTAAGAACTAAGGGACTGCAGGTAATACAGCAGAGTAATATCAGCCAGCAGCAGGACATTTTTATTTAGTGAGTGGAAATGTACTAGAGAAAAAGAGTACAGTTTTACTACAGGAATTAAGGTACTGCACATGACACTGTAGTGTAAAATTGGCCAGCAGCAGAATAATTAAAAATAATAAGGTTAGGCCCAAATTGTATAGAGAGAAATAGCACAAAATACTGCACAAATTAAGATAAAGCAGAGGAAAAAGCAGCGTACAACTGGCAGGATAGTTTTAATCAGGGATATTTGGCCAAAATGTACTAGAGACAAAGTGTACAGGCAGGTATTTTACTATAAGAGCTAAAAGACCACAGATAATACAGCAGTGTAAAATTGGTCAGCAGCAGGACAATTTTAATGAGGAAAACTAGGTTTAAATTTACTAGAGACAAATAGCACAGGCTAGGGTTTTACTACAAGAATTGAGATATTGCAGAGGATACAGCAGTGTGTGACTGGCCAGCAGCAGGACAGTTTTAATCAGAAATAATAAGACTAAGCAGCGTATTCCCAAAATTCTTTTTTATGAGGATAGGAGGGTGTGGTGAATGTGAGTGATACAATATCAGGTGGTTTAGGTGTACACTGTTCTTGCACTTTCTTTCAAATGATGCAGCGGCATGCTGTGAACAAAAGGCAGCTCCAAAAACAGATGATAAGTAAAAGCTGCTCTTCGGAAAAAAAAATTACCCTATAATCATTAATCAAAAATATAATAAGCACACAAAAAAAATGAAAACCCCCAAATACGACTAATGTCGAATGTCATCCTTAAAGTGTATTTCCACTTTCACAGCCAAATTGGGCTAACACCTATTTTATATTTATTACATGTTCCCATTCACATAGCATAAGCGGGGAAAAAAAAAGAATGCTCTTTGCAGTTTAAATTGTTTTTACATGGGTTAGGGTTTTAAGGGTTAACATTTTTTCTAGCTTCTATTTCTTTGAAATGTTAGGAGGGGCTGTGAGGGGTGGGAGTTCTAAGGTGCTTAATGAAGCTTATCAGATAAACACAATCCTCACATTTCAGTCCCAAGTCTTTCTATAAGGACAAGTCACTATGAAAAGACTAAGAAAAACCTGGAATCAGCCACCTTACCTTATTTAACAAAACATCTAAAAGGTAAGAACTTTTTTTAAAGTTACTTTTCAGTATGCTGTGTGAATAGGAACACATAACAAACATATAGAGAGGCTTTCTCAAATTTGATTGCAAAAGTGGAAATACACTTTAATGATCAGGGTTTTTAACCTTTTTCTTCTCCCAGCTAATCAAATTCAAACTGAAAAGAGAAAAATCACAATATACTGAGCAGCTATTACTAACATATATATTTTTTATTTTTCCAGCTCTTCTTCAGTAATACATGCAGCATGGTTTGTATTGCTCTGATAAACAATAAAACAAAAATGTAAAAAAAAGTCTTATAAGTTCTTATTAATATTGATATAGCTTTAGTTTCTTGAACAGCTGCTCCAACGTTGGCTTTGACTTCTGGTAACCTGCAAATGCAAAAAAACTTTTGTTTAGTACTAGACAACAAGTTTAGATTCACATTTACATTTAGATTTATACATTTTTAACTTCTGTCTTCTTTTCATTCTATGACAAAAACACTGACATTAGGTTTGTTTTAAAGGAAATCTACCACAGGTAGTTATGCTTACCTGAATTGCTGCTGGCACCACACAGAATGCACCTCTGGGTGCCTGCACAATATGTCATCTTTCCTCTTCAATTGCCAGGGTGCCCCAAATTACAGGCTGAAGTGATATCCAAAAATCAGCCCAACTTCCTGAGCCTAACACAACTCCCACATGTACGTATGAAGGTACCTGATTTGAAGAGGCTCTTCTGTGTTTCACACTGGTTTGGTACAGAGATATTTTATACCTTTGAGCCCACCTTACTCTAACCTGTCTGGTTTTACTGGATTGCTTATGATCAAAATGATCATTTGCAGCTAGTATCACTTTTGATCTACTATCATTATCCAGCTAGTATCATCCTAGTGAAAGCTCACTTCAATAATATGAATAATAGGGTACAATACACAACAAAGTTTAAGGGTTTGTAGTCCAACTGTACTGATATCAGACCTTTTTTCGCCTTATTGCATCTAAGTGCAAGCTCCTTAAAGATATCCTCCATAACAAACCAGTATTATAGTTGGCTGATCAGTATTTCAGATTGCTGTCAAGCTAAATCACATGCAAGCCTTTTTATTTCACTTGAGGGTTAGATCTTACCAGAAATCTCATGTCAGCTAAACGGCTTCAGCTGTTACAAATCCTAATTATGGTATGCTGGTTTCCCTGAAATATTCTCCATTAAGGTGCCCATACACTGCATGATTCTCGTACGAGAATCGCGGGAAATCCCGCGATCGTACCAGAATCGTGCAGTGTATGGAAGGCGTGCGGCCATTTCTACTGTACAGCCGCACGTCTTCCGTCGAACAAGCAGGCTGGAAAACCCGCCGGGAATCGTACGATTCTCGGCGAGTTAGTGGCCTGCTTGTTCGACAACTGCCGAACGGGCCGGTGCACGCGCACACTACCTGCTTGCAGTTATCGGGCTTGCGATGATTGCAAGTAGGATCTGCCTGTCCAAGATGGGCAGATCGTACGTTTTTTTAAGTACTTTACAACCCTCGCAAGACAAAAGTCTTGCAAGGGTTGTAAAGTGTATGGGCACCTTAATAAAGAAAAATAATTGCAAGAGAGTAACATCTTGGCTATGGTCTTGTGGGAGTGGGCGGACATCATACCTGGAGACTCCCAGGTATCTAAGGAACTAGAAGCAAACTCAACCCACCTGTGCAAAAAAGGAATTTAAATATAAATATTGGGTGGACCTATATGTTAATAATAAAGAACTAGGTTCCCTGGCAGAGAAATGGAAGCTGAGGTAACCATCATTTACAACTATACTGGGTATCAAAGGAGTCCCTAAAATGCTGATGCCTTTTGCATGCCTTGATTTTTGCATTATGGCTACTACAGGCTACAAAGGATCTTTAGATGTCTTTAATCTATCCCACATTGTTTAGGACAACATTTATTTAATAGTCTAAACTTACTGTTTTATTTGTTTAGTAAAAATCTGCTACATTTTGCTGGCAGGCCACTCTCCTTCTTTCTGTCCAACACTTTGATTGATGGCATAAGGAGCTTATGCCTCCTCTGCTATCAGTATCCTCCCCCCGCAACCATGAAGTTCGGGGAATAGAGGATCGCTTCGGGACCAGCGGCGGGGACAAGCGTGGCTGAAAGGTAAGTGTGGGGGTGACGTAGGGGGACTGGGGGAGAAAAAGGATCTGGGCAGTTTTTACACTAATGCAGAGAATGCATTAAGGTAAAAAAACGCCCAGACCTTAATACTACTTTAAGGCATCATGTACGTGTGGCTATACACTGAGGCTAAGGATTTCTGCAGGAAGAACATGCAGATTCTTACAGCAGGAATGCCAGGTGGGTGTGTACAGAAGCGGCGCATCTGTCTGCGGATGTTTGCATGTAAGCCTAGAATGATTACCTGCAGTTCAGGATAGATGATTGCTCCTAGATGTATTCTGTCTAAGTCCAGGGGCAATCATCTATTCTGCAATCATCTATACCCATGCATCTGTATGGATTCATCTGCATTTTCTGATGCAAAAATGTGCAGGTTCTTGTCGCAGGAATCCTCAGCTGCAGCTTCTAGCCCAGAGTGCATGAGGCTAGGGGCATAACTAGAAATCACAGTATGTTTTTTTTTTTTGTATGGGGCCACGTGATTTTTAGTTATACCCCTTGCAGAGCCCACTCGAGATCACACCTGAGGGTGAACCTGCAGAGCCCACCTGTCCACCTCCTCTTCGTCCACGGTCGCTGATGGGCCCTGCCTCCTCCTCCATTGCCAGGCCCGCCTCCTTCTTTGTCACCAGGCCCGCCTCCTCCTCCACTGCCAGGTCCAGCCTGCTCTACCACTGCTGCTGGCTCTCATTGACTCTGTGGAGAGGAACGCGCTGCTGCACAGATTACTGTGCCCCGGGGCTCACAGTGGCCGCCTGGGTCGCTATGGTGATTGTTACGCCACTGCATGAGGCCTTACAAAAATTTTACAACATGTAAGTTAAATGTTGCCCATCTACACTGAAACAAGTTTTCAATGTAGATGGGCAAACTTTGTCAGCGCCCATGTAATAGCAATAAAGTTCAGTGAAGAAGGTTAAAAAAATTTAAAGTTTAATAAAACAATAACCCCCATAAAAAATACTTAAAGCCCCCTGCCGCCATGAATTTAATTGCATGTGTCAGGTGCACCTATGTACAAAAATGAGAATTGCGTCACACATATAAGGTATTGCCGCACACTGTTGGCTCACTATCCCGAGAACCATCCTACGGTCTATTTAGCCCCTCCCAGTCTGCTGCGTCTGGCACATGAAGGCAGAGGCTGAAAGCATGAGAGCAGCGACTTTAGGATGGAGGGCTGAGCACGAAAGGAGGAGAAGTAGATGGTCTAGCTTCCCGGTGTTCTGTAATATTGCAGAGCAGCGACTTTAGAGAGAGCAAGGAGAGACAGCCAGGAGAGACAGACAGGAGAGAGGAGAGACAGCCAGGAGAATGAGCAAAGAGAGATAGCCAGGAGAGAGAGCAAGGAGAGACAGCCAGGAGAGACAGACAGGAGAGAGGAGAGACAGCCAGGAGAATGAGCAAAGAGAGATAGCCAGGAGAGAGAGCAAGGAGAGACAGCCAGGAGAGAGAAGAGACAGGAGAGCGAGAGAGAAGGAGCGCTAGGGAGGTTTTTTTTCGTTGGTAGATCTCATGTAGCTCGTCATTTGAAAAGTAGATCTTAACACAAAAATTGTGGGCACCCCTGCTGTAGAGGCTTTAAAATGTTGCCTATTGACAATTTTAGGTACTATAGTTTAGCTCCATTTCATGGATGCTTGCAGTTTTCAGGCTTGACATGTTTGCTGTCTATTTACTCAACGCAACCCCATCTTTTATATTTTACCAAAAAATTGTGAATTATATTGTGTGTGTACTAAAATTATTTTAAATACATTTTTGTACAGAAATGTTGGGTTTGACAAACAGTTGCGCTAATTTCACTAAAAATAATATAATTTTGCTGGGTTTTAAGTAATCTTTTGGCCTAAAATGGGCATTTTTTCACTAGCAGCATCAGAGGTAATAAATATGCAAGTACAGAAAAATACCCATTGATGTGACAGAAATGCAATCAGCTCTTAAGCCCTGTTGTTGTTGTTAAGCCCTGGGCTGGCAACACACAGTATTTTGTGGACTGAGTGGCACAGTGTCAGCCCTGCCCATTGTCTTTTGCTAACCTACTCAGCCACTCCTACTCTCAGATTTCCACAACATAATGGGTAATTATTCTGCAATCCAAGAACTGAGAGGGTGCACAATGTGTACAGGACACAGGACAACACTGAATTTCTGCGCTCATCAAACAGACAAAAACACTATCAAAGTTAAGTTTAAATGGAAGCAAATAAGAAAAAGTTAATTGTTAGTGTTAACATGCAATTTAACATGCAACAGTGGGGGTTGTCATAGTTGGTAAGGGGGAGGAGGGAGGGAGGCAACTCCATATTTATGTCTATGGTTTTAAACGGGATGTCCAATAAGCTTATATAGGTTGTGAAGAAGTGTTACAAACTTTAGACCATATAGTGTACCAATAAAAGTAAGCAGAGTACAATGGTATTCTACAGGTACTGTATAACTAATTGAAGAACTGAAGTACTAAGTATGGAATCTGTTCTCCCTGTGTACATCTCAAAGATTCATTTTTATTTAGGACTGGTGCTAGCAATAGGAGCAGGCCACACAAGCAAGAATGTGTTCCTTGCTGTGCAACCCGCTTCTTTTGCTATTTCATTATATACATAAAAGTGCTACTAATTCTCTAGCGAGTCCAGCCAATATGTTTATAAAGGGGGAGTGTCTGAAACCCCAAAAACATTGGATGTCTTGTTCCACTCTAATGTGAATTCATTCAAATCTTCTTTGGACTCTATGACAAATGGTGAGGCGCTCTCACTGCTTCTCTTACATTTTTGGACTCAGTGGAGAGCAGCATTGTCTGTACAAGGACATGACTCACTGGGATTTATGCCTAGGTACTCAGACCAAATTCAGCAGTGTCAGTATGCATTGGTCAACTTGAAAATAATTCTAGGGTAGGACGTCCCTTAACATCCCGCTAAGCTCCCTGGCAAATGGTGATGAGTGGACAGAGCCACAGGTTGCTAAGAGCTCTTAGCAACCTTAGGAGGCTGTGGCCGCCACTCTGCCACCCCTCTGATGAGATCTTCATGATAGGAGATGTCCCTGTGGCTAGCTATACAATAGATTCCTCCATCCATGCAAGGTTTAAGGAAACGTTCCCGCTGTATATTGTATTCATGTAGCCACAGCAACTGTGCCTGAATACCTGAACAGTAACTGTATCTGATAGTATACAGTCACCATTCAGCCAATAATTTTCCACCCAGCTCAGTCAGGGTGATGCCCGAATTTCGGCTAATTCAGTAGAAGCCAACTTAGGTCGAGCTAAAACATTTTTACTTTTGGATAGCATGGGAAAGAATTAAAATGGTTTTCCAAACAAGAAGTGATGGATAATATGCAACAGGGGCACAAGCAGCAATATAAAATGAATAAGGGTTCTAGCCTTCCCCTACTCTGCTATAAAAAAAAAACCTGTGTTTCTTTTGGAGCCCCGGATAGAAGTTAAAGCCCAGCAGGTTTCCTAATCCCTCTCCATCTACCTAAACCTAAAAAAACAACTTAAGCTGGACAAACACTTTTTTTTGGACATACGCTGATGTTTACATTTTTTTTAAAAATGCTTAAAAAATACATTTGTTGGTTATTTTTTATGAACGCTTTTAACCATATTTTAGACACTTTTAAACTTTTTTAAAAATAATGTTACACATTGTATCACACTATGAGTTTGAGTTGTCACTCTGCCTGTCTCTATATAGGGTAAAAGTTGGAGATGACAGCTTGTTTGTATATTACAATGATTGGTTTATTATTAGATTAGGTTTTTAGTTAAAATTAAACTGGGAACAATGTAACATAAACACTGTGACTGAGAATGTAAATCTACAGATTGAGTCAGCAATGAGTTATTTTATGCCACGTTCATATTCTATAAGTATGTCCAATTTATGAAGAGTTGTACTGATGCCTCAGTGACAACTAAGAAAATAGAAGTTTAGTTGCTGCTCAAGCCAAGGCCTCCAGATCAGCTGCAAAACAATATGAAAGCTCACATACACTATGTTGTAATCACACATTTTAAAAGGAAATGGTTATCTTGATTTTGATTCATTTACAATAATGGTTTATGAGAGTCTATGCTTCCTATTAAGAACTACAAAATACAATGAAGTAAGCAAATATATTTATAACGCGAATCCCTTAAATGGCAATCCTGAGCTTCCTGAATTTTCACTTTGCAGGAAGTATTTTTTGCTTGCACATGATAGGATGATGGAAGTCATTAGAACTTTACCTCATTCACTGAGGTAAGGGAACATTTCCTTCCAAAGTGAACAGCCTATGTGCCTTTAGTAAATCAACCCCTAGATATTCAAACCATGTCCTAAATGTGTAGAAAATGTAACGTTGAATCTCAGACTGTCTACTTTGTTTTTTCACTCAAACCAAAAGATGAACCGGAAATCTTTCACTTTTTTCCACTTCAAAATTCTCCTCTTTTTCCTTGAATGTCTCAAAAGTAAGGTTTTTGCTTATAATGCTTTGGGCTTTGGAATACACTAAAATGATGCCGTGTGCACAGCAGTATACATTGTCCTGAAGCTTGTCATGTACAATGGCACCAAAGCATCACTACTTAAAGGGGCAATGCCAACCCTTAGTTCCCTCTCCACTCATGTCCTCAGTCCATTTAGGATGAAGGAACTAAGAAAATGCTGCTTGAGTCTTGGGGTCTGGACATATCCTGTTCATTCCCTGCTCTTCAGTACCTTCCCAGACTTCTTTAACAGTAAATCAAAATTGAAAAAATTCCGGTCAGAATTATTCTTAACCCTTGCAGTGTGCCTGCACTGCAAGGGTTAAGTGCTCATTTTTGTATAGGAATTAATATAAAAAAAGATATACTCACCTGAACCTCACAGCTGGTTGTTAGACTGGTCCCTGTAGCCTCTCTCCCCCTTTACTCTGGCAGTCCAAGGTCCTGCGAGTTATGTGTCTTATACTGTGTATAAGACGTGAGGATGCCGAGGGTATTCCATCACTGGAGTGGAGGGAGAAAGAGGCTCCATGGACTGGTCTAAGAGCCAGCCGGCTCCAAGGTTCAGGTGAGTATAACTTTTTTATTTTTGGCCCTAGACGAAAAGCACTTAACCCTTGCAGTGCATATCTTAAAAAAATTGCTGCTTACATGTTTAAGTATTTTACTGCCTTAAAAATCCTGCCTAGCTTCTCCCCCTATGTAATGTTAAGGAGGGGGCTGGAAGGGTTTGTGGGAAGTTCTGTTTACTCTAATTAACTCTGTCTGTACTATGCTGGCAGATTTTAGCCTGTCCTAACAAACTGTTAAAGACTTAGAAGCTTTATATGTTAATGGGAGGATGTTCAGTCTGTCCCTCAGTTACTCCTTCTACTTTCACTGCTCAAAGTAGCCTGCAATTGCCACAAAAGTAGCCTTCATCTAAAAGTTAATAAATATTATTAAAAATATATTTTTAGGTATGGTGTGTTAATGGAAACACATAACAAACATACTCTCAAATTTGAGTGCAAATGAGTAAATACATTTTAAGTTACATAGACAGATGGATTGAGGTTTCAGGACCACAAGAGGACTCCCCCCCATGCATGTCATTGTGGCCTCAGAGAAGGAGTCCTCTTTTGGTTCCAAATCATCAATGAACTGTCCAACAGTAACAAGCCATTTCCACTGCACGTTACTACATCATAGGCATGCACAATAGACAAGCAAAGCTATGCATGCTTATGAAGAGCAAGTCTTTATTACATCAAGGAAAGATCTGCCCACGGTGATGTCACCCCATTTTTGCATACCCCTCCCCTAATGTGGGTTGCCTGGAGTAGAAGCAGGGACCTTGAACCTTAAACGTTTGCTGTGGTTTCCAATGCTGTTAGCCATTAAATGTATTTTTTGTCTTGTCTGTATCTATGTTAAAGTGACACTAAACGCAGGAGTTACACCTTAAAAACGCATTCAAGTACCTTAACTATTAACAAAAATGTACCTTATTTGTGTATCACTCTGCTGTAGATCATCAAATCATCTCTGAATTTGTGCTGACACTGTCTTCCCTTCTGGAGGGTGGTTACTTTTGCCCCCCATGATCCCTGTGTGTGTTGTGAAGTAGCCACTGCTTCTGTGATGTACTCGTCGATCTCATGCCTAGTTTACTAATTTGTATTCAGATCGTAGTCCATCATGGGAGTGAGCTTGGAGCTTCTTCCCTTTCAGCTCACAAACATATGGGCAGCACAGTGGCTTGGTGGTTAACACTAGAGTGCAGTTGCAACACTAGGGTCTTTTGTTCGAACCCCAACCAATATACTATCTGCATGGAGTTTGCATGTCCTCCCTGTGCTTGCATGGGTCTCCTTCCACATTCCAAAGACATGCTGGCTCATCTAGAGTTTGCCCAAAATAAGGTGCTTCACCTCCTAAGGTGAAGGGAGGAAAAATGCTATACAAATATAAACTTAATATTAAAACTTGCATGCACAGCTCCCTTTGAATTAATCCCTGTTCACATGCTTGGGGGTAGTGGCAATTAGCATTGCAAAGGATGCTAAACTCAGAAGACGATCAGGCAAAGATGTGCGCTGGCAAGATAGCTTACAGACGTTATATTATTGCTGAAGGGGAAGTGAGCATAGCTGGCTTTAGTATATAAAAGTTTCCCTGTGGTCACTCTACAAGTTCTAAATGAAAAGAAAGCATCTCCTTACCTGCCTTAGCTCTTGACCACAAAACCTGGTCAAGATATGCATAACAGAGAGCTCCATGTTTCTGATCTCCCAAGGTTTCTTAAAGCTATGTAACCATACATCCAAGAACCTTCAGGTGCCTTGCATTCCATTTCTACTGCCATTTAGCATTTTTAAAGTAACTCCAGGTTACTTTACATTAGGTTAGTGTTCCAAATATTAATTAAAGGCACACTGCAGCCAAACAGGAAAAAAAAAGTATCTTCAAAATGTATTTGACTACATTTGACCACAATGCTGTATGAATCCTGATGCCTGGGAACAACTTGTCCTGAGCATGTGATCCTAGGGACTAGGGAATTTCACCGCTGGTCATTGACTTATGCAGACTCTAGATCATTTAGATAGAAATGGATCTCTGCTCTCACAACAAGCTACAGAAATTATTATATACAAAAATATGTAGATCTGTTAGAACCTGTAAGTAGATAATAACTGGAGAGAAACTATGGCCAAATCCAGAGGCCTTCAGAAATCCATGCCCAATCTGGAAATTATTTGAAATGAAAATTAGGGTGAACAGGGTTCACTTTTCACATTAGCCTATTTCCAGTGTTTCTTGGATAGCATTGTTCTTTAAAGGAGAACTAAGGGATGAGTACACAAATTCCCATAGTTAGAGCCAATGTGTGACACTATCACACCTCGTCTCTTTAGATGAGAACTGTGTGATCACAAACCACTGATCCCTCAGTTCATGATATTCTGCCTGCAGAGAGTGGTGACTGTCAGTCACCACTCCCCGCAGGGATTCCCCCCTCCCTTCTCCTTTCCTCCAGCGCCGCCTGGAGGGCAGATGGGGAGGGGACGGGCACAGCTGACTCTGCCTCTAAAGAGGCAGAACCAGCTGTCAATCTGGCAGCAGGGTGAATGCCAACAATGTTGCCAATTGGCATCTTTCCCGGCTGCAGCGCGGCTCTGTGCTGTCACCATATGGTGGGCAATAGCCCACTATATGATGAGTTTTGGGTCACCGGAGGACATTAGTAAATGTCCTCCGGTGACCCTAAAGAGAACTACAGCCAAAAAAAAAGGTTTGGCCATAGTTCTATTTTAAGTCTAGAATGATCATTCCCTGCTCAGTCTGGCAGTAGTTACTTAACTGTCAAAGAACCATTATGCAGCTGTGTCAGAGAATGGCTGCATTCAGGACACCTTAGTCAGGAGATGTGATCACAGATTGGATTTATTAGTAATATTCTAGAAGACATTTTGTATGTATAATTATTCTTCCTATTGTCCACTTAACCGTTAAATAAGTTGCTAAATGCTAACAATAGTCATAATAACAACAAGGATACTAAAAATACACATATGGTTACCTATTATACTGCTGACGCTGTTCATCCAATAAACTGGTCCGAAGACAGGGAAGTCAGTTTCCGTTTCCATTTCCAGCATATTTCTCTTACCATCTAAAATGAAACAACCCAGTTTATTGTGTTTGCAATCTAAAACTTGTAATATGAACACCTCTCAGGATATTTAGGGGTTTATTTATGAACAATTCACTGAGCTATTCACCCTTCAAATTTCTGTGAATATTCTTTCTATGTAAGTGGAGGCAAAAAGGAACGTTCTTAGTATATTTTCTTTTCAAGTCAAATGTAATGTAAAACTCCATTATGGCCACTAGATAGAGCTGAGAAGCATAGGAAATTAATATTTATTTCCTATGCTCCTCAGCTCTATCTAGTGGCCATGAAACCGTAAACACTGTAAATGAGCCCAGTCATCTTACTTGAACTGTTAACAATAACCTTTTATCTTAAAACATAACCTAAGAATGCTTAGAGGAAACCTGGGATAAATATGGGGACATTAATTTGTTATATTCTTTGGAACATGCTAATTGATATCATGGTGACCCTCTAATTTCAGTACCACCTGAATAACTGACCTGTATGCAGAAAGTGAAGTCAAAGTGGTGCCAAAATTTAAGATCTGCAAAATTGTTTCAGGTCAGTGGCTCAAAGTATTGAACCTATTAGATAAGCCAGACAGACAGCAGTTCAGAAGCAGGGGTAATCGATGGCAGACTCCTTGTTTAAAAAAGCCTTAGGTTCCTTTAAACATCATATTTAATGTAACCCTTGACTTAATTCTTAACACCTAACCAAGCTTTAACCATTAACCCTCAACATTGTCCTCTTCCAAACCTTAACCTACCACTTTATCCTTAACCATAACTTAATCTTACTCAATAATATTCTTATGTGTTTAGAGTTTTACTAATCACACACTTACAATGAAATATAAATGTAAAGTATATGAAATTAGAAATTATGTAGACTGCCATAGCTAAGCTCTTTTTGTAAATGCTGGTTGCTTGACTGCTATGCTCATTCAAAGGCGCCAGTGCTTTCTGAGTCACTTACCTGAATTGGGTATGTAGATCAGAAGGTCTGTATTTTTTTCTGACTTCACTGGGTGCATTAAAAGGCAAAAGAAAGCACCAAATTTGAAGTATCTCAAGCACAAATAACTTTACCGTTTAGGTGCACGACATGCACCCTACCGAGACCCCCACCCTCCCTATTTCGTTTTTACCCAAAGTGGGCTTAATCACTGGGTGTATACTTGTTCTGGGTCAATAACTTGGAATGTATTGAGGCAAGAGACAGCAGGCAACCAGCAATTTTAAAGAACATCAGTAATGACAGCCTCCATATTTTTTCCATTTTCAGCTTTCTCTACATGCTGTAATAAGGAACTGGGAGATCATGGTGGGAATTGGTAAGATCTTAAACCACCCTTTTTCTTAGCTGTTGAACATCAGCATGTTGTCTGGGCTTTTGTCAAACACTAACTGAGCCTTGATACTTTCCTCTAATTTCACCTCCTGAGGTGATGAACCAAAGGACCATAAAACTTTGCAATCTGTGCTTTCTTCAATCAGCCATCTGGGATACAAAGTTTTAAATCAATAAAAGAAAGCATTGCCCAATTCACATTTAACACATTAGCCTAACTGAAACATTGTAAAGGAATAGTAACGGGTTTATTGTTGACATCAGCAGATGCTAGGCAGCTGGTACATAGAATTTAGTGCAGACAAGCAAATTTGTACTATATCCTTTATGTGTATCTAAGCTATTGGTAATGTTCTCCCCTTCCCTTGCTCAATTTCGTATTCCACTTAAAGCAATGAATCCAAGCAAAAGAGATGTACAATTTATAAAAAAACTTACGCTTTCCTTTTAGGTATAATGTAGATTGGGGACCCCAGTTTCTAGTTAAAACCTGCATCTAGAATTACAGAAAAATAAATCTAAGAAAGTATGCTCCACATCCATTTAACATACTATAAGCCTATACATTGACTTACCTTTGTCCCCTCACTACAGTCAGCTATGAGGAGTAGCAGAAAGATGGCAGATATCCAGACAATGGCCCTTTGTGTGCTCTAAAAGAAAATTTGAATATGAGCATAATCGTTACCATCACTGACGTTGACCTAATTTTCTAAAAGTATTCTCACCATTGTTCAAGTTATTTATCGAAGGTGTCTTTGTCCTTTCATAAAGATCCAGTTATGTACTCTGCAGCCCAGAAGCTTTTATGTAAGAAAATTGGTCGCATTTAGTTGTCACTTTTACATGCGGTGATCCGTAGACCTTGGCCTTATTTAGAAGAACACCTGTATTTATACAGTACAAATTGTACTGTAAACACGTCACTGGATTTCAGAAGCGTCCAAACACCCCTAGGCCTAATTAGGTTAACACAGCACATCCTGATGTGATTGTATATCCTTCTATTATCATTAATTGTGACCTTGACAGGAGCTTCCTAACACAATACTGCACAGATCTACATGATGATGTGAATCTTTCTGGTGCTTGCTCCTTCGTATAGAAGAGATGGAAACTACTAGAGAAAAACAGATGATTTGTTTTATAAAAAACTGCAACCCACTTCCGTATGACTTTCTTTTGAATATATTTGACATATGGAAGATTTTACTCCCATGTAATGTTATGGCAAAAAAACAAATATTTTCCACTTTTGTATATTCGAGGTACAATACTGAATGTAAGTTATATAGGTTGAGCTTAAAAAGACCAAGCTGATATAGAAGGCAAAAAGCGTTTTACAATTTATATTAACAGAGAAAAGAAATCCTTCCTGACTCTAAATAGCATTTAGCTAAATCTAGTGTTGCTCATTGTGTCGGAGTAAAAGTGAAATTCTCCCCCCGAATAGTGCGCATTCTGCGTTCTGCGATGTTTGCAGGAAAATTCGGCAAACTATTCCATAATGCCCTGGGCCTCTGCAGCAGCCAGTCCACAGTAGGTTAAAGCTCTAATTTTTGACTTTTGCAACAGATGCCTACTGTGAAGTCTGTTTCTGCTTTTCCTTCTTACAACCATTAGGAAAACAACTTTTTTGCCCACTGACAGTGTTGAAATAAGGGATTGAGATGCAGGACAATGCACAGCTAATATGATTTGTAAAATGTCACCTGTTAAAGTTCATACTTTAGGAGAAAAGACTTTTAAACAATATTAAGTCATTGGATGTGTCCTGTCCCACCATTCCCATCTCTTTTCTTGACTAAGTTGCTGTTTGTTTTGCAATTGTACTGAAACCAAGCCTAACAAGGAGTTGCATAGCCTAAAAGTCTTTGCCGGTTTCATTGAAACAAAAAAATTATGCAATGCTTTGCCTTAACCCCATGGTACACCATTAGGATGTTCCTACCTAGTCCGGCACTCCTATTAACCCCTACCACTAAGCTGCTGTGCCAAATACCAAATTTGATGATTTCACCGAGGGGCGTAACTAGAAATCACAGGGCCCCACAGCAAAATTTTGTATGGGGCCCCGTGATTGCTAGTTATGCCACTTGCAGAGCCCCAGCGGAGAGTGACCCTGCAGAGCTCACCATAGACTCTCTATAGTGGGCTCTGCAGGGTCTGAGATCTCTTACCTGTCAGCACCTCTGTGGTCGCCGGGCCCCGACTCCTGTTCCGTCCCCGGGCCCCGCCTCCTCTGCTATCGACGGGCCCCGCCTTCTCTTACATCACTGGCCCCACCTGCTCTTAGGTCGCTGGCCAGTGATGTAAGAGGAGGCGGGCCCTGCCTCCTCCATTCCGAACACCGCCCTCATCTGCCGCAGCGGCTGGCTGTCACTGACACAGCACCCCCACATGCCGTAGCGAACCCAGGTGGCCTTGGCCGGGCCCCCCTGTGCCCGGGCCTCATAGCCTGGGTCGCTATGGCGATTGTTATGCCACTAATTTAACATAGTATCCAGAGTGCACTGGGCTATTATACACTACATATAAAACCCCTTAACCACTTGCTGACCGTGGTGTTAAACCCCCTCCCTGTCCAGGTAATTTTTCAGTATTTAGCACTGCAGTACTCTGACTGACATTTATTCCGTCATGCAAATCTGTACTAAAATAAAGTATATACCATTGTTTGGGGACACGCAGAACTTTTTTTTTGGTGGTATTTATTCATCACTGAGGTTTTTGTTTTTTTTGACTATATAATGAAAAAAAAAACTGTTTTCCCTACGTTATAAAACATTTTCCATGTTTGCGGTGATATGTAACATGTGTGGTGTAATCGTTGTTTTTACACTTATATGAGCGTGCACACAAGAGACTTACATTTTTTAAACTTTTGTTTGTACACTTAACTTTATTGCTATCACATAGTTGTGGGGGACGACGACAGCAGAGCTCAGGATAGCCGGCAGCGGGGGAGATGCGTAGCACACTGTTTGTTGTCGTACAAGCGATCGTCCGGCTGTAGCGACGGCTAAGCGCTTGTATGTAACAGCCGGTACCGGCTGTTAACATTCCCAATGGCATTCTGCTCACGTGCACCCGCAGACAAAAAAAAAAAAACGTACATGTATGTCCACGCGCTGGGAAGTGTACGCCGTCCGCCCATGTATTTACAATGGGCGGACGACGAGTGGTTAAAAATAAATATCTATACACAATATAAACAGATATACACAATAAGTGTTCAAGTGCTAAAGTGTCAAATATCATATATAACATGCAATATTACAAAGATGTGAAATAAATAATCTGCGCTTCTGGAGAAGAGACTAAATTAAAAAATATGTATTTGTTAATTAAGACCTAAAGCAGCTCTAAAAGAGGATGGAAGAATCCTTTCAGCGATCGAGAAATGTATATCAAAGCGCTAAAGGTATAAATACTATGAAACTTAGTGCAACCAGGTAAAAAAAGTGAAATTAGGGTTTAAGCAGTCTGGCCTAAAACCAAGTGATGTATCTTACATAGGATCATAAAACAAAGAAAAAAATTTAAATTAATAATTCGATTGTACTGTGAAAAACAGGATAATGATTAGGACAATAAAACAATTCAACCACTGTGTAAAAACCATCCAATATATAACAATATATGAACGATCCACACAAAAAAAATTATTATAAAAACGTTGAAATAAAGTGTTCAGTGAAAAATAAACGTAGAAAACGTGTGCAAAAAAATTATTGTTGATGGTATGTATTTCCTAGTGGTGGTCCGACAACCCCTCCTGGGTGGGTACTCACGTTAAGACCGCTTAAACCCTGGTTGCACTAAGTTTCATAGTATTTATACCTTTAGCACTTTGATATACATTTCTCAATATTACAAAGATACCAAATCCTTATAGTATAGAAACGCTTCTACCCTTGTGCAACCCCCCCTCCAAAAAAACAACCCAATGATTCAGTTTTAACTACAGTATCTTCAATGTGCAATCGCTGCCACAATCCTTAATATTAACTCCACTCAGTGTATTCTCACACACCTGTGTCCCCCTCCAGCCCACAAACTCATCAGAAATGTTGACCCACTGTGAAAAATTGGGTCAAGCAACACTCCAGTAGATGCAGGTGTTATCAGAAAGACATTCCACTCTAGGGAACTGAGTCCTCTCTCCCTAAGACCTCATTCCGCGCTGAACCACCAGCAGTAAAAAACACATTTATTCCAATAGGGCCTCTTTATGCAAACGCGCGCAATCGCGCGGTTTAATCCGCCTGCTCCCGAAACTGCTCCCTGAACTTTTTCAGCATTGACCATCGCGGTTTCCATATAGATTTCAATGTAAATGTGCTGATCAGTGTGTTTTTAGGTGTTTCAGTGTGTTTTTAGGTGTTTCAGGGTGGCCTTTCAAAAATTGCGCGGAAACCGTGCCAAACCGCTACCGCCCTGGTGTAAATGGGGCCTTACATTGTTAAAGCAGATTATAAAAAAGCAGAAAGGCTCCAATAGTGTAATTAAGTTTTAAAATCAAGCATTTATTAAAAATATACACTCACATAAGGCAGGTGCTATTCGGTACCAAGGGATCACCAGTGTAAGAATCGTCAATTTTGTTTTTTTGCGGATGATACTAAACTATGCAGAGCAGTAAATTCCAGGAGATATTTGCACTACAAAAGGACCTAAGCAAAATTGAGGCATGGGCTACAAGATGGCAAAATAAAAAAAGACCTGGAGGTTCTCATAGATCACAGATTTGGCAATAGAAAGCAATGCCAATCAGCAGCCAGTAAAACTAAAAAGATACTGGCATGTATTAAAAGAGGAATTGTAGCAAGGGATCAAAGAGTAATACTTCCACTGGTTTAGCCCCATCTTGATTATGCGGTAAGGTTCTGTTCGCCAACTCTCCGGAGGGATTACCTGGAACTAGAGAGAGTTCAGAGAAGGGCTACAAAATTAATTAAAGGAATTGAAGGCCTGAGTTATGAGGACCGCATTCAAAATCTTAACTTATTTATCTTAGAAAAGAGGCGATTAAGAGGGAACCTTATTGCAGTCTGCAAAATCATCAATGGGGACCACAATATTAGGAACAAACTGTTTAATACAAAAATTGTGTTGAGAACCCGGGGACACAACAAGAGGTTAGAAGAGAGGGGATTCAATCTTAGAATTGGCAAGGGGTATTTCACTGTGAGAGTAGTGAAAGTTTGGAATTCTCTCCCACAGGCGGTGGTATCTGCCGATAACATTGATCAATTCAAGAAACTACTGGATGTGTTTCTTCTTTTGCAGAATCTACAGGGATATGGGAAGTTGTAGAGCTAGATAAATACACACACACACTCATTCACATACATAGGTTCAACTGGATGGACCTTGGTCTTTATTTAACCTTACATACTATGTTACTATCATTCCGTAACAGTGTGTACAGCATTAAGGGATCCTGCAAAGCTGTAAATTGAAGTGTTTGCCCTCTTTCTCATGTTGCCCTTGAAGCTGCATTGTTACATTTGTCTGCCTATGGTTACCCTCCAGGGGCCCGAAAAAAGCACCAGAAGTTTTTCCTCATTGCAGTTTGGATTTGAGATCCCGAACATTTTCACTAATTTGGCCAAACTGCCTTTAAACTGAACTGCAGCATACTGAAGCAAGAGTCATTAGCCTGTTTTTCGTTATAATTGAA